GTAAACTGAGTCATGGAACGAAAGTGAGTCAGCAATTTATAGCAAGCCTAGTAAACTGAGTCATGGAACGAAAGTGAGTCAGCAATTTATAGCAAGCCTGGTAAACTGAGTCATGGAACGAAAGTGAGTCAGCAATTTATAGCAAGCCTAGTAAACTGAGTCATGGAACGAAAGTGAGTCAGCAAGTCTCACTTCGTTGCCGTATGACGAGGCGCTGTAAAACTATTTTCATTAAACTCATAGTTAAGAAGCGATTCTATGGTATTTTAAATCTATAAGTTCTAGTGTTTGCTTTAACCTAATGCAATAATTACACAATGATCACCTTGCTCTTTTCTCACATAAACATCTTTTCTAAATGCTATCAATGGTATTCTGTGGTGTTTTCTTTGAATTATTGCACGTCATTCTCACACTGGATTGTTGCTTTCTCTACTTTGTGATGACAATTATTTTTTGCTTGGTTCTTTCAAATCTCTATTGCCTCTTCTGTTGTTTTTATTTCTCTATTGCCTTTGAACTATTGTTTTTAATTCTCTATTTGCTTTTAACTATTGTTTTACTCCTGATCTTCCTTGTTTTCTCGATGGGTTTCAATTATTCTAATCTCTTCCTTGTTAATAACTTTCACGCTTTGCATTTCACGCTAACCGGACAGTGGGCGCACCAGTGTCACTCTCATGCGGAAGTGTCACTCTCGCCTCCACGGGAGACGGACCCCTCTCCCCCATGTCCCCCACCACTCTCCCCCGACGCTACCATCCCCACCACCACCATCATCACCACATGCAAGAACACCCTCAGCAACACCTGTACCAGTCTCGGCACCGACATCACTATCGCCGCGATGATGTCCCCATCTCTGGGGAAGATACTTTGTCCCCTTCCCCATCCCTGCCTTGTAGCCCCGAGCAGACCAACCGCCATCACCACCACCTTCATCACCAACAACAACATCACCAACAGCAGCAACAACAACAGTCAGGTCAGCAGCCTATGAGGGAGTCATTGCAGAGTTTAAGAGAACACCAACAATTGCATAAACAACAGCAACAACAACAGCATCTGTCGCCCTCGCCCCTCCCCCAGAGGGAGACGCCGATCTCTGACGTGTCCGACGTATCAGAGATGGTAGCGGCTCGTCTCGGTTCGTCTCGGCTGAGTATCACGTCTCGGTCCAGCTCGGGGGCCGGCGGCGCCCCCGGTGGCAAGAGGACGAACTCTGTCCACCAGTCACTGTCACCCGTCAATAACCAGGCGCGGGCGTCGCCCCCCGTCGTATCGCCCACTCTGTCGTACCTGCAACGGGGGGCGTCGTCGTCGCCGCGACCGCCCCCACACCCGGACGATCAAGACGTGCGTGATGACCGCGATGAAGATGACGATGAAGGGGACGAAGACTTGTCGTTCCATCGGTTCCCTCGGTACTACGATGACCAGTACGGCGGGGGTGAGGGCGGGGATGAGAGTGGGGATGATAATCTCTCTCACGACTCCTACGAGCTCATCGAGAGGGAGGAGGACGCCGCCTCCGCGTACGGTGGAGGCAGCCAGTTGGGATCGCGGGTCCCAAGTCGGTCGAGCTCACGGGGCCTCATCGGGTCCATTTCCGGTAATATTTTAAGCAGCAGTCGCGAAGGTCTCGAGTGGTGCGAGAGCAAGGGCGGTGGTGACATGCCCACCACCCGTGCTAACACAGGCAGTCTTCCCCGTAGTCACGGAGGCAGTGTTACTACTATCACCAACGGGTACACGGGGAGTCTTCCTCGCACCCATAGCGTAGGACAAGCCGACCAACTGAGCCGCACCCTTGCGGGGAGCCGTGCCAGTTCTAGGATCACTTTGGAGCTGCCGCTAGAACCTAGCCCGGACAAAGGGGAAGAAGAGGAGAACATGTCAAGCCCAGGCAGCCCCGAGTTCCACGAGAACTCCGTGTGTGAGATCACCAGCGAGACTGGGTACGGCCGACATCTTGGTACCATCGCCATCACTGACAACGTCTCGTTATTTACGCCCCAACTTCCGCCGTCGAATCGTCGGCCGTGTCTCGAGCGCGCCGAGAGTCTCACCGAAAGCGTCACGGGGGGCAGCGCAGCGCTCAGGTCGCGGTCCAACAGTCGGTCCTTCGTTAACAGGGTTGGCGGGTCCCGGGACAATCTGGACGGGACCCTTGCAGAGTCACTGGCCACAGTCACGAGTCGAGTATCCGCCAGCATCAGGGCCGCCAAGGAGATGGGCCAATACGTGGACTATGGGTCTTCACAGGAAAGCCTTCACAAGATGAGCTCGTGTGAGAGTGACGTGGGTTCGTCCATGTCTTCCCAGACTCGCTCCTCCACCACTCCACGACCCTCGGACTTCCATCCACACGTCCAGTTCATGCCAGCACGTCGCAGCACGTCCACCAGTCCTCCCACCGTCACCTCGGGGTCTTCTCAGGCTCGTCCGCGAAACATGGACTTCGCGTCGCTGAACAAGAAGCCGCTCTTCCACGTGTACAGCAGCGGACGTGGCAGTGACTCTGGCGGCAACACCGACAGTGATATTTGCTCACCCTTGGAGGTACCGTTGCCGATCCCTTCCTCCGAAGAAGTTCAGGAGGTTGACGAGGAAGACGAAGATGATGACGATGATAGCCCCTCACCATCTGACGATCGCGTGCTCTTCCTGCGCCGTCCCCCCGACATCGGGTTGGTGACGCGAGTTCGTGGCAGTAGCGACGACGAAGACTTCGAACATCGCGACATACGCTTGAATGACTGCGACCTCATCAACGATACTCACGAAGAAGAGGAGCTTGCGTGTGAGGAGATCATCCAAGAGGTCGAAGATCTCATCGGTGAGATCATCCTCGAGGAGGATGAAGATCTCGCCAGTCTTCACATCCCCGTATCATCAATGATGTCCATGGTGCCCGCCACTCGCAGGGAAGATGACCAGATTGTGGTTGTCATCGAGGAGAATCCTGATCCTTTCTTGTACAATTACCAATCCATGGCGCAGGATCTAAAGGAGGAGTCACCGTCGAGTGTTGAAGTCGATTTCTTGGACCTGGCCAAAGAACGCAAAGTGGACGAGAGTGAAGCTTCCGAGCGCACTGTGATAGAACGATACATGCCAGAAGAGCGACTCAATAAAGGAGGTTCCAAAGACAGCCAGATGAGCATCGAGGAAATCGACGAAACCATCATGGATCGAAGATCTTCTCTTGGCTTGGAGCGCCGGCCATCGTACCATGAGAGTCGGAAATCACCGTACCTCGACCGACGCCTGTCAACGCAAGAGCTCGACCGTATATCGCCGATGCCTGAAAAAGATCGACGTCCCTCGTATCAGGAAGGCGGCGAGCGCAGGTCACCGTATCTAGAAGCAGATCGCAAATCTTCCATGCAGGATTTGAGCCGACGATCTCCTTATGATCGAGATCGTACGCCCTCTAATTCATCCGATCGCAGCCGTCGTGGATCGGCTTCTTCAGATCGCCGAAGTTCTGTATCGTCAGAGCGACATGGCTCTATTTCATCCGACCGCAGAGGGTCCGGATCGTCAGAGCACAACAGACCTTCGCTCTCAGACATAGGGCGTAGAACTTCAATCTCGGTCGAGAATGACCAGCGTTCGCCTTTCTTCGACACGCCAGCTTTCGAGTTTGATCCTCCTGCATTTGAATTTGAGGATGAGAATGTGTTCGAGTCGATGGATCGGGATGGGTCGTCTCCACAAAATCCACAACCAGCTCCTAAATTTACCCATAGCCCACCGGGAAACGACACGGAGACTTCCAAGTCCCACCTTGACCACAGTAGGATTAACATGGACGATCTCGTGGTGTCTCTCATACCTACTGACGATTCCAGCGAAACTTTCTGTGGGGCCAAAGTTGTTGAAGTGATCGATGGGGGCTCTTCCGATTCTTCCGACACTAAGAAAGACAACGTCTCTAAGCCATCGAAGCGTCAGCCTCCGCCTATCGCGCCTAAACCTACTGCTAAACTTGCTTCCGCTAAGGGCTCAAAACCAACCCCTCCCGTTGGAAAGCCACTAGTTACCTCCACCTACGAAGAGGTCGTCCTGCACAACAAACCCTCCAAGAAGACCCAACGAGACGTGATCATCATAAAAGTTGACGTGGAGCAATCGCCACAGGAATTTGAAACAGCGAGGTCTGATCCTGACGAAAAAACTAAGCGCATCACTCCAAAGATTGAAGACATGAGCGGCAGCTCCTACGAATCCAATCAGGATTCGCAGGAAAAGTCCTACAATGGCGACATGTCCTTGGAGGGCGCCGTTGGTGGCGGCAGCTCGCAGTACTTCTACGATGACGAGGACGACCACGCGCAGATGAGCGACCACTCGTCCCAGTCACCAGACCTGGTCTCGGAAGAACCTGACGAATACCACGACGAGTACCAGGAACCTGACTACTACCAGCCCTACAGACAGATGGAAGTTGGGTACGCCTTCCCGTCGCGAACCCTATCGCGCATCAGCGAACGTTCCACGACTTCTGAACAGGAGCAAGAGCAAGACCATTTGCACTCCGAGCAGGAAAACAACGAAACCACGGACAGCAAAATATCCACGCCGAGCGAAGACAAACACGGGGTTGACCACCCCTCTGACATCCCCTCGGATCTCTCGTCAGATTACTCTAATTCTAATTGCGAAGATGCCTACAGCGAGTCCAACAAACAGCAGTCTCAGTCACAGTCCTTGTCTCAGTCGCAGACCAAGTCTCACTCACACTCGAGTAGTCACCATCCTTCTTCAGACGTCAAGGCTCCCCATCATTACAGCACCCCAAGCAACTCCGTGTCTGCACAGCCCTCAGCAAGCGGCGGTAAACTCACCGTTGAGGAGCAGGAAAACGTCAACAAGTTTGCCACTCATCTTTTCTTGTGTGACTTGCCTGAGTTTTGTGCCGGCGATGACAGCGACGAATTTCCTTCTCCGCCAAGCTCGGCCTTCCTCGAGAATCCTCATTCGGAGCTGAGGAACATCGAGTCCTACTACTTGGACATCGCTAAGCAGACCAAGAACTCGAAGCTCGGCCATGAGGGTATCTATGACAACATTCCCGTCAAGTTCGAGGGTATCCACGAAGTGTCTGAGTCCGAGTCTGGTTCTGAGGAGAACCACACGCTGCAAGAGCCTGAGGATGACCTAGAGGTTCTAGAGGAGCTGAAGAATGTGCAGGACTTGGATGACGATGGGGAGATGGGCCGAAACACCCCTACTCCTCTGAGACCAGAGGATGATGAGCCTCCTGCACCCCCGCCCCATGCCACCATTAGGGCTGAATCTCCTTCACCACCTATTCCTCCACCCAGGGCACCGGCCTCTATACCCGAACCGGGGCCTTCCAAGGGGACAAGCCTTTTGTCAGCATCGGGGGGTGGCGGCTTGGCAGGGGTCGTTGGGACCGTCTTCGGCGTCAAAAATAAATTGAAGAGCATGTCCCCAAGTCCTCCTGTTTCTCCATGTCCTCCTCTCTCCCCTTGTCCTCCTCCGCAGTTCAGTGGACCCAGCGATGCGTCGTCGAGCAGAGAAGATCGTCGGCATGACATTCACCTCCCAGATTTACCGGGAAGTCCACCTTCCCTCTCCTCTCTGGATTCCCCCGACTCCCAGGCCCTCTCCAGACTCCACCCATACCTCCCCATGCTCCCGTCCACTCCTCCATCGGTATCCTCCCTCGACTCCCCGGACTCACAGATCTTCATCGTACAGCCCGCAAGTCCTCCCGCGAGTTTTGCGAACCCCGAGTCCCCAAACGAGTCGATCTCAGAAGCAAGTCTGCGTACCCCGGGTGCAGCGGGGGGCGTGGACTCCATCACTGAGTCCACTACCCTGTCCACCGAGGACGGAGTGAGACGTGACCACATCACAACGACCGCCGTCTCGGCCGACGACCTTCGTCGGCAACAGGAGCTACGACAGCTCGACCTCGTGGACTTCGGGCAGCTACCGCAGGACTTCATGGAGTTGGACTTTACGAGCCAAAAACAGATCGCGGACTTGGAACTCGCAGACTTCGAGCACCAACAAAGTCTCTCGGGGGCAGAACTTGCCGAGTTTCAGCAACAACGAGAAATGGCAAACCTGGCCATTGCAAATCTAACCTCCCAGGGGGAACCCAACGATTTTGACCTCTCCCCTACCAGTCCCTTCGACATGCTGGACTTCAGCGAACTCACCTGCGCGGATTCCCGGTCTGGGGAGACCCTGGGGGCCGGAGTGACGGCCCTTGATTTCGAGGTGATAGGTGGGGAGCTAGAGGAGGATGGGAGACGACGTCCTTCAGCGTCCAGGGACTGGAGCTAGAGACGGGACGTTTTCCTCATGGATGTTAGATATTTATATATATGCGTCTCTGTGGATGATATACGCTTTCGATGATGATGATGATAGTGTTTCGTACTAACGCGTCGTTCGTTGTAATTATAGTACGCTTATGTCGTTACTAATCATTCGTAGTGAACTTTTATTTATTAGCTCTTATCTTACGACTCTTAATCTTTCGTATTGTGACATGAATTAATAATTCTAATGACACTTCTTAATATTTATTAACCGTTAAAGATAATTTTAAATCTTCAATCTCGTCATCCTATGTCGTCATTCGTACCAACCTCTCGCTTCAGTTGTTATTGAANACTTGAGCCAACGCCTAGCCTCAAAAACAATAACTACACTCAGCCTTAGAGCTAGAAGCCGCAGACTACGCTGAAGCACCTTAATCTGGACCCTAGACACACTTCTTGAAGAAAATAGCGCAGTAGGTCTTTGGCCCATACTTGAGCATGTTCGCCGATAAACAGGCAGTCCTGCAACCGGACTCACATACTCCGGCCTAATCTCTAATGGTCTAAACTCTAACCTATTCACGGTTCCCCGGCTCGCAAATTGCTTGCAGCCAATCACAGGCTCCACCTGCTAACTTGCCTCGCCTCTCTAACTTTCCGCAGCCAATAAGGTTAGGTTAGGTTGGATCCTCTCAGGTTTGTTTTGGGCGGAGAAATGTTGCAACGTGAGTTGCGCATCACGAAAGCCTGTTGCAGTTATGACGATGCTTAACTTCGACATACTTGATCATTGGCTTTGGACAAATGTCGCAATTGCTTTCATCACTTGACTTCAAAGACGGCTATGCTCTGTAGCGTGCCTACCCACGGAAAGGAATATGAACTGAAGTGGGAAGTTTGGCCAAACATGCTCTTTGGCTCTTTGTATTCACTCCAGTATTGAACGCTTGCATCATCCCCAATCATTCGTAACAACCATTCACTATTAACATTCATGATACACCGCTCGGTATCATGTCGGAGGCTGGATTTTACGACTCGCTGTTTAATAGCTATTCACTATGGTTCAGAAGATCTGTCTGCATGTGCCATGGTTACACTCAACTTAAATAATTCCAGTAAGTTTTGATTTATTATCACCGATGCGTGTATATAGTGTATAGCTGCTATGTTTCACTCCTACAATCGGTCATTATATCGGGCAACAAACTATGAGAAATATGTGGGACATTGCCCAAATTGCGATTAATTTTTTGTTCACGTGTGGGTTAACTTGACCCAGTTTGACCCTATAAAAAAGAGCGTATCAGTGTAACGTCCGCTCTCTGCTCTAGTTTTGTGTAACAAAGGTGTGGCTATTTGGGGAAAAATGATCTATTCATTTTTCTGAGTGAGGAATAATTATTCATCAATCAAAGGAACTCTGAAGAGAATGATAATTTTAATAGATTCCTTAAGGTTTCTTTAAGCCTGAGTCCTATAGCATTTTATTCACTACGTTGGCTCAACGTGGAGTTAACCCTCCATAAATGAGAAAATCTTGTAAATTCTCCGTACAGATGAAGCTATTTTGTTGCCATTTAGGATAATATACGCAGATCATTGCTTCTGCTAGAATATTATGATATTGTTGCTTGTAAATTATTATAACTTCTGAGCAATATCACCATAATAGGTCTGTTGCCGTGTCTGATCATAATTCCTAACATTGCGGTCAACGTTTCCACCATCGCCTTGTTGCTGACATTTTGAATGTGGTTTAATATCCCCCTCTCCCCCTTTTAAGGTAAATATATTATAAATTAAATGTAATCACGCCCCCCCCCCACACACACATAGTTACAGTTTGGGCGTCGAAACTCAAAAATACTTTCGAGTGAACGTGAAAGCTGTTCCTGCTGAACCTTATCGGGGTTTACGTATTCGCTATTCAATAACGGAAAAATTATTCCTGCCTCGCGTTACAGCGTCATAAAAACAATATTTGCTTTAAAATATTGCTTTCTATCAATCAGTGTGCCAAAACTCGGACCTTGTTACATTTACACATCAAGTATTAAATCTGCACTGTAATAAATCTGCACAGTGCAAGAGTCTACCTCCGCTATATATGCATTAATACAATAAATATTGTCTGCATTAATACTACAACTATTATCGAACATGGACGTTGTGTATCATAAACAGCTTGCCAAAAGTACAGTACAACCTTAATTATTTATAGCATTTATGGCGGTACCTTAACTTTAGGTTAACTTCAACTTTTATCTACAATACCTTGCAAAATATGTTGAACGCTGTAATAGTTTTCCCCGAATGACGCCAGACACATACCCTATATAAATTTGAGGACCGCCCAAATTTATAGTTAGAGTTAAATGGTCGCTACACTCAGCGCAAGGTTATTCTGGGTCTGCTTGGCCACCTACTCGAAATCAGTTTCTGGTCAAAATCTCTTGCACTGTTTAGTCGCCTGAGAGTATAGACAAGGGTTGGCCGAGCCGACCGAGCTAGCAAGCTGCCCAGAGGCTTCCTTTCGAACCCTGGGCCGAAGCGGACATAGAGAAGCTGATTTACGTGCTCCCAGAGTCCTAGGCGGCACGTATTTCAGAGTCGGGCTCGCCGCAAAATTTTGTAGTCAGCCCTAGTTGGACAGAATTAGAGATTGTTGACATAGTGGATTATTTAATGCTAGCTGGGGATTTGAACCTGCCACTCACTCTTCCAACCTTGATGCTCCAACCATTGGAACACCCTTTGAAAACCTGTACGAATAGGCTTCTGTATTCTATGGTTTCAGGCGCCAGCCTGAGCAGGTAACCAGCACGCTGGCAACCTGCTTTCACTGTGAGCTGCTTTCCGTGCTCCCCGAGTCCTAGGCAGTACGTATTTCAGAGTCGGGCTCGCAGCAAAATTTTGTAGTCAGCCCTAATTGGGCAGAATTAGAGATTATTGACATAGTGGATTATTTACAGCTAGCTGGGGATTTGAACCTGCCACTCACTCTTCCAACCTTGATGCTCTTAACTTTATAAACCATTGGGACACCCTGCTTGAGCAGCGCGAATGTGTATTCAGAGAAATGAGCGAGACGTGCAAATAGCGATGCACTTGCTTTTTTTTATAACTCTAAAGGCCTCCCACACTCACCATTCCAACGAAAAGGAATTAATTTTATTAATTAAAAACAGGGAATGGTTTCATGTCAATGATCAGGGCCCGACCTTAACGCCTCTGATGGTACGTGGCCTTGCCCTTTTGTGGCTCATCCTCACCCAATTTGGCTCGGACAAATGACCTTTCAGTGCTACGTCCGCCGTTTGCTCGCGCTGTGGGTAAGAAAATGTATCGCTATTTGGACGATATGACACATTCACTTTTCAGAGTGTACGTAGACCAGAACGAACAACCAAAAAACGAATTACTAAAGAATGACAAGCGAAATAAAACGAGTAATTTCTTTGGATCGGGACATTTTAGAGTTTTTTTCAATAAGGTATCTTTTATTACATTAGCTATCCCCGACTCGAGGTACTTCATTAAGTAATTCATGTTTAGCTTCATCGTACATTCATTGCATTGAATGACTGCGTATTTTCATTAGCTGCGCTAAAACATCTCGTTGTTCATGCATTCTTTATTTTGTAAGGGTATTTAATTCTCTATTAGCAGATATCTTAGTGTTAGCTCCTGCTTTACGTATAAAATTATAATTTATTACTCGTCATTGTCCCCATTCTTCTGCACTCTCAGAAAATTGAATGGGTTGTGTTGTCCAAACAGCGAAACACTTTCTGTTCGTAGCACTGATACGCCCCAATGCCTGGGGAAGGTTGATCATTATCCTATTTCTCTTCCAACATCCTATTCCTCTTCCAATATGCTATTCCTCTTCCAATGTCCTATTCCTCTTCCAACATCTATTCCTCTTACAAGAGTGCATCGCCACTTGGACAAAGCTTCACCATTCTTTTGAGTGTATTAATATCCCCCTCATACCTCTCCCTCCTTTACCCATTTGTTATAAATTATAATTTATTACTCGTCATTGTCCCCATTCTTCTGCACTCTCAGAAAATTGAATGGGTTGTGTTGTCCAAACAACGAAACACTTTCTGTTCGTAACACTGATACGCCCCAATGCCTGGGGAAGGTGAGTCAGGATGGCCCACGCAAGGACAAGAGTGCATCGCCCTTTGGACAAAGCTTCGCCATTCTTTTGAGTGTATTGATGTTCCCTCATCCCTCTCCCTCCTTTACCCATTTGTTAAATTTGCTTCATTGCCCTGAATTTTATTAAGAAACTTTCTTGTATATTTTAAGGTGGTTTTACATTCAGAATTTGTAAAGTATCGTACTTATACATAAGCAAGTCTTATTCTTAATGTGCTCATTAATTGTTCATTATTAGCATTGTAGTGTAAGATTTACTGGTCGCAGCATTTTGTCGGCATGGTGCTGACGTTGTGTTGATATTAATTGTGTCAGTTTTGCGCTTTGAAATTATGAATATTTTGCGTATGGTGATACGCACGCTACGGTCTATGACTCACTCTTGAGTGTGCGTTTTTTATTGCACTTGCGTTCTATCACAAAAGTAATGTCGGGTGTCCTACGAAAAACATGAATGTGAAGCGTAACGCATTTGTTGCATTACGCATTGTCTGATCATGTAACTGCATCCGCGTGAAGTGAAACCATACAACTAAATTTGGGTAACGCCATAGCTTCAGCACAGGAGTCGCTACTCGAAAAACCATAGAATAAGGGTTTTTCGGGGTTTTAAAGCCAAACCCATGGTTTGACAACCATAGAATAAGTGTTCCATGGATCTCGGCTCAGTTATCCTGGGTCTGCTTGGCCTCCCGCTCGAAATCAGTTTCTGGTCAGAATCTCATTTCCGACTTTATAGTCGCTAGAGAGGGTATATAGGGTTGGCCGAGCCGACTCATACAACAGCTCCCAGTGAAAATTTACAGACGCGTCAGCTTCTGATTTTGGAGTACCAGAAGCTGGGGCGACTCTAAATTTTGTTAGGGAGTTAGTTGGCCAGCTGCCCTTAAGCCCGGCCTAGGCGAACATATAAAGCGGCTGATTTAGGTGCTTCCTGAACCTATAGGCGGTACCTGTTGCAAGGTCGAGCCCAAATCTAAATTGTGTTTGGCCGTCACCAGGACGTCAAAATTCTGTATTGAAATTTCCATTGGCACTTGAAAGTTTACTTCCTTGCGATTCATAACATTTACTCCCATGAATATTTACTTACATGCGTATCATAAATATTTACTTTATGAGTATCACGAATATTTACTTCCATGCGTATCATGAATGTTTACTTTATG